ATAACAAAAAAAAAAAAAGAGATTTCATGTATTTATAATTTAAGTTCAACATCTCTAATTTATGGAATAATTTTTTTGGTTGAAAATTTGATTTAAATTGAACTTTTACAGCACATTGCACAACATTTGTGTTGATGAGAGCTTATCGATCGACCATTTTTTTCAAAAAAATAAAGTTAAAAATATGTGATTACATGAAAAAAGTAATAACTAACATTCAAAATCTAACAATTCAATTAAATACTCTATTTTATAAATCACTAAATTAAATATAATTAAGAGACCGAAAAAATAAATCATTATAAATATTTTCAAAAACTTATTTAGAAATGTAAAATATTAGGATTGTTAGTATATTTTTTAATAAATAAATAATATTATTAATTTAAATTAAAATAGCATAGTAACTAAGTTTTAATTAATTATATATTGTAAATACTTTTTTCAATTTTATCTCTTTTTTGTAATGTATATATATATATAAATATATATAATGAATTTTTAAAAAAAATCAGGGGGGTCTGTGGCCCCCCTGAACCTAATGTAAATCCGTCTTTGGATCGGCTTGTAGATTTCTGAAGGAAGGTAGTTCGATGAAATCCTTTTCATTTTCGTAGGCTTGTGTTGAAATCGTTGATTTATTTCGTGTTCGATGAATCGAGATCCTTTAATTTTGGGTTGGAATTAATTCGGATCATTTTCGTGGTGGAACTCTCATTTGGTGCCCTTTCTGTTATTGACCTTCTTCTTGCGAGATTGACGTTCGGATAACCGTGCCTTGAGGTTTGAAAATTTTTGTGTAAATCATAAGGTTGTGTTGAGCCTTGAAACCTTTGTGTAGCATGTTGTTTTCGTCGCTGTTTTTGACCTCCAAAACTCAGTCGAGTGGTTTCGAACTCTTCTGGTAATTTAAAGTTCAGTCTCTTATGTTTTACCTTGAGTAAGAATTAAGTTATTATCAATTGTGTACTAAAAGTTATGTCCAATGTTCGATGACTGCGCGTCTAGTTTTTCTGGTATTTCGGTTTTGTATGTGGTCTGTATTCTTTGTGGTTTTTGAACACTGAAACCTTGTCGTCTCTTTCTGAAGTCTTCACATAAATTATAGTTCTATCTTTTATCTTTCATGAGGAAAAATAATCAAGTGTTTATCATTTTTATATTGAAACTTATGTCTAATGTTTGGTCATCGCGCAGTTAGTTTTGTTATTAATCAAAATCGTACAAAGCTATTCTTCCTTGCTGTTTAGGTCATCGTCCTTGAGTAGAAATTTTCTGAAGTCTAAACATGAATTATAGGTCTGTCTCTTATTCTTCCAAGAGCACTAAAATCATTCGAATATCAGTTTTATATAAAAATTCACGTCCAGAATACGATCACTGCGCGAGCGGTTTTTCTGTCAAAAAGGACAGCAGATTGTCATTGTTGTCTAACCCATTTTCGTCGCTTGAACTTGCCCGTTTGCATTTTCGTCATTGTTGTCTTCACGAAAAATTTAGATCTATCTTTTAACTTTCCGTAACTTCAAAAATCAATCCAAAATATTTTCTACATCAAAAAGAATGTTCGTTATATAGGGACTGCGCGTAGAAGAACTATCCGATTTTCATCAACTTAGTTTTATGTTTCCACTTGACCATTTTTTTTTAACCGTTCGACCTGTTTTCGAGGCGAACCTCAATTTTAACCTCGTGACCATTGTTCCGAGTCTTGTTCCATTCTCTGAGAGGTCTAAATTCCACAAGAGCTCCACAAACTCCTTAATCAATAATTTTGATTAAGTAGGAATTTTCGATGAAATTTTGAGTTATCGAGATAAGTATTTTGAGATATTATCTTGATTTAAATGTAGGTTTCTGAGACCTATCCGAGCCCGTATGTTATTTATCTTCATGTCTGCTCATCAGGTGGGTGTTGATAAAATTTACCATGTTCGTTATTCTTTATAATTGTTTGGCTTGATAATCAATGTATGCATGTGAGCCATTAGTCTATGAGAGTGTATCTCCATTGATGTTGTTGCCGACGTTCTCCTATTTGTGCCTAATGAGAGTGTATCTTCTGTTGATGTTGTTGCCAACGGTTTAGCTCTCGTTGATGGTTGTTCCGACGGTTTAGATGTGTGCACATGAGCGTAGGGCAGTTTAGGAGGTAGAATAGATGATTTGTGTTCATGCTGCGATTATGATTTTAAGACAAATCATTATACTGAATAGACTACATGGTATTTCCACGGTGAACTTGTTGTTTGCTCACCCCATTATTTTCCCTTTTTCAGGTTGAGCTGGTGGTGTTGGCCAAAGACAGACGAGTGAGGTCATAGTTATCTGATATTTATGAACTGTTTTTATGCTTCCGCTATTTGATATCATGTTATCAGACTTTTATTAATGTTTTGGATATTGGGTTTCGTTTCTGGATTGGATTTATATGTATGAATTGGATTCTGGTTTTTGAAATTGATGTGTATGTTATTGAGCATGCTATATTGTCTGGTTTAACATGATGCTAAGTGTTGATTTGGGATGGTTTATTCCCAGTAGCTTGAGTTGATACTTAAGCTAAACAATTAATTTTGGATTGAGTAATGTCCGCTAAATAATTTTAAAATGATTTCTGAAAATTTAACTCTAATTTTTGGAAGAAATTCAGTATTTTTCTTTTAAAAACAACAGGGAGTTACATAAACTTGTTTTCAACTTTCAATTGAATTAACCATAAAAATATAAAATAGAAAATGTAATTTAATATCACATTAAAACATAAATTATTATCACACGTGCAGTTTACTAGTAAAAATACAAAAAAAAAGAATATTCTAACTCATTACCAAAGTCCAATAGGTATTTGGCTAATACGACGCTACAGTTTTAAGGCACTGCCTTTACCTGCTAATATCATGACACGTGTTTTACTATTCTTTTTAATATATTTTTTATTTTTTTGATAAAAATATTTATATAACCAATCATCCTAAACTATGGTTAAAACCATTAACCCTACAACTACAATTACCACAACTGAAGCATGGTTAAAGCTAAAATTCAAAAAAATAAACATTTACCCTAATTCTTATTCCCAAGCTCTGCGCGCCTTCAACACCTCTCCCGTCACCACCTCTGGCCTCCCGCCGGACTCATCACTGCCTCGCCTCGCCCCGCCGTCACCACCTCTGGCCGCCCGACCCGCCTAATCACCCCGTCACTTCCCCACACCACTCCGACGCACTGTCATCCCGTCACCGCCCGCCTCCACCCCGGCTGGAGACCCATATCCACGTTGGGCCAGCCTGTCATCACCCCGGCCGACCCTTAAACCTCTCCGGCGCACCGTCACTACCTCGACACCCCTCAACGCTTGACTCCACTTCGGCCCGAGACCCGTTCACTAGCCCGGTACCACTCCTTCCCAGCCGCAAAATTGAAATTGGCAACATCCAGTTTATCCCCTCGGTTTTCTGAAATAGGTACTTGCTAGTTTCAATTTTTTATTATCTCCAAGCAAAAATAAAAAATTCAGTCGTTTTTGTTCTAGTTCTGGGTATGTTTCTGTTGCTGTACTTTTTCCTTAGTTTGGTAGTCTTTTTGGATGGCTGTTAATATTAAACCTTTTTATGTGTTTTGAGGTTTCTGTTGTTAATGTAAATCCACCTTGGCTATGAATCTTTGTAAATATTAGTTTATTAATGAAATTCAGTCGTGTAAGAACAAAAACAAAAAAAAAAGAAACTGATGTTTATTTTATTTTATTTTATTTTTGCGAAAATTATAGGAACATGGACATCAATTCATCCTTTTTAGCTAAAGATTTGAATGGAGCCAATATTGGAACAGATGACCTTTTTGGTGGTGATTTGGAGCATCCCGAATTGGAGGCGTCTGAGTTTATGCCCATTGAACATTGTGAGGTACAATCTTCAAATAATATGGTTGATGTTTTGGAGGGTAAATTAGTTGTGGGTACAATGGTGAATGTTATTGAAGATGCTTATTTGCTTTATTGTCAATATGCACATGCTAAAGGATTTAGCGTTAGAAAAGGAGATCAATGTTGTTTTCCCCGTAGTAGTGAAATTCAGTCGAAGAGCTTTAGTTGTTCTTATGAGGGTGAAAAAGATGAAAAACGTTATAGTAAAAAAATACCAATTTATCAAAAGCCGGTAACTAGAACTTCATGTACAGCACAACTTAAGATTACGAGGCCGAAAGGGGGAGATTGGCAAGTGAGTAAATTTGTTGTTGAACATAATCATGAAATGTTTGCTCCAGAACAAACTCATTTGCTAAGGTCAGCTCGTAACATTTCTCATGCCAAAAGAATCAACTTTAGAAGCAATGGTGAATGCTGGAATATCTGTTCTAGTGTTGTTTCTTACATGGAGAATGAAGCACTTGGGCCTGAAAATTTAGGCTTTATTAGAAAGGATGCATATGACCATTTTGGGAGATTAAAGAAGCATACGAAAATTGAAAATGGGGATGCCAATGCATTACTTCGACATTTTATAAGCAAGGAAAATACAAAACCTTTCTTTTATTGGAATGTGCAGTTGAATGACGATGATCGGGTGATGAATTTTTTCTTCAGGGATTATAGATGTGCGGTGGACTACGAGTACTTTGGTGATGTTCTGTCCATTGACACCACTTATAGAAAAAATAAGTATAATTTGATATGTGCTCCATTTATTGGCATAAATCACCACCGGGATAATGTTTTGTTTGGCTTGGCTTTTATGTCGGATGAAACTCAAAGTTCATTTACATTTATTGATTCAATGAATGGTAAACAACCTCAAATAATAATTTCTGATCAATGTCAAGCTATGATGAATGCAATAGAAAATGTTTTCCCAAATTCTCATCATCGTTTGTGTCAGTGGCATATAAATCAAAATGCCCCTTCACACTTCAGGAATTTAAATGGCAATTCATCCTTCAAGGCTTTATGGTATAAGTGCATGTCTCATTTCGAATCTGAGGAAGAGTTTGAGAACACTTGGAAATTTATGGTAGATTCATATCATTTGCATGATCATAAATGGTTGAATGGCATGTACAAGCTTAGGAGAAAATGGGCTACAACTTTTAGTAACAAGTTATTCAGTGTCGGACTTTTGGCTACATCGAGGAGTGAGAATGCAAATAAAGTCTTAAAACAGGCGGGTAGCAAGAGAAGCTCTTTGTATGAGTTCGTAATGAATTATGAAAAAGTCCAAAATCAGTGGCACACAAAAGAGAAGGTTGAAGACACTCGTTGTCGTCATGGAAAACCCTCTCAAATTCTTAAGAACCACCCATTGCTCAATCATACTGCTAGTGTATACACGCTTACTATTTATGGGTTGTTTGAGATTGAACTTGTTAGTTCTTTGAATTTGCAAATTTGATGGCCAACCTTTTAGTAATGGTAAAGATGGTTCTTCACTAGAGTTTCGAGTGAAATCCCACGGTGATAGCTTAAGAATAAAGCATGTTTTGATGAATACTCAAACTAATAAGACAAGGTGTAGCTGTCATAAGTTTGAGACCATGGGAATCTTGTGCAAACATTTTTTTAGTGGTGTTCAACTACATGGATGTAACTATGATACTGGAGGCTTATCTTTTGAAGAGGTGGATGAAATGTGCGACTTTGAGGGTTTTTAATGATTTTAAGGCTTCTAATGTCTCTTGTGGAAGTGGTGAAGAATTCGATCTTGTCTTTGTGAACAAAGTAATGAGAGCGGCCGATAATCTTACTCACATGAGTATACCTCATTTGGAGGCACGAAACATGTTGAACACAATACTCGATTCAACAAGAGACCAAATTGTTGATTTTATTCAAAATTTGGATCTTGAAGATTCGGGTATGCATGATGATGTTGAAAATGATGGTAATGAGCATAGTGCATCGAGAGGATTAACTAATGCATGCATTACTCGTCATTGGGATAAAAAGAACAAAAAGGGAAAAGGAATTTCAAAGGTGCATGAGGATACTTCCAAGTAAGTTTTTTATTTAGCTAAATAATATTGAATTGTCTTTCAAATAAAAATCAATGTTCTTTTTTTTTTCTAACTTGATTGAATTTATTTCTTTTCAGGTGAAAAGGGACCGAAAAGAAAAGTTCAAAGTACACAAGGCATTCAAAGCTCACAAACATCAAATAGTATCCTACGAACTCAAGTTCCTAATATGCCGCTACCGCAGTTCCCCAACATACCGCTTCCCCAATTCCCGAATGTTCCACCACATCAATTTACATTCCAAGTTCCACAATTTTCACCTCAATCCTGGTCAAGTCAAGTACCTTGGCAATATCCAACTCAAGGGATAATTTATATATATACATACATACATATATATATATATATATATTCATGGTAAACACATGAAAAAAGACATGTATTTATATCTTATATATTTGTTGTGTAGGGAGGCACTGGTGGTCAATTGAATTTATTCGGATATCCATTTCCGCATTCACCTCAGGTTTAAGAATAGGTTGATCTTGATGATATTCAATTTTGTTAAGGATAAAAGAATATTGATTCAAATTCATTTTTCTATTTGTCTTTAATAGGGCTCATCTCATCACAGACAGGACTAAATTTGGAGAATTGAGCATGTCTCATTGCAATATTTCGTAATCTAGGACTATTTGCAACACTTGTTACATAATTTGCATTATTGGACTTCTTCTCTATTTGTAGTAGCAATTTCAACTAATGAGTAATTTGATTTGGACTTAAATATTTTTAGTAATATGGTGTGTTATTGTTTTATTAGAGTTGGATTATTTTGGAGTAGTATTTGAGTAATTTTAAAATTTATTTATGGTAGTTGTTTTACATTCAAATTATTATTAAGTTGCTTCTCCAATAGTGAAGAACTAATTTGTTTCTCCTTACGATTTTCGTGCACTAGTTATATGGAGGTCTCTCCTTAAGATTTTCGTGCACTAGTTAGCAGTTACAATTGTCATGTTATTGAAAATATTATATCTTAAAGTCTTAATTGATAAAACTTATTATGTTGTCCGTATGAAAATTTTACTTGGAGCAATTGTAGCTATGTAAATTTGCCTTGTTATATCAATTTTGGAGGTGTATAGATCCAAGGCAAGAAAATAAATATTATGTATTAACCCAAATACCAAAAACAAACTCATCGTACAAAGCAATTAACAAACAAATTTGGCCCATCAAGCAATAGCTAAAATATATCAATTCACAGTTCAAATCAAATAAAGTTAGAAGCCCAACGTTAGCACAATAAACAAAAACAATATATCACACAATAACCCAAATCTGAAAAAGTTGTAGCCCACAACAAACAAAATTACATGCCAAAACATAGCCCAATAAGCAAAAACAAATATATTACACAATGGCCCAAACTGAAAAGTTGTAAGCCCAAATCAAATACAATGGCCATCATTTGAATTAAAGACACTGCATATCTTTTTAAAATATATTATTCCTTAATTAATACAGCTAATGGTGAATTCTAAATATACTCCTTTATATTACTATTTTGTGTTTCTTAGAGCCCGTTTGTAAGTATGACAAGATGAGATTGGAGCAGTTATCCAGGCTAAAATACACGTTTGGTTCCCTAGATAACGGCCCGTCACTTTTTCTAGGGCCCGCAATCAAAACTCCCTTAATCGGGTTGTGCGGCGATTAAATGGTCTTGGGGGGAGGGGTAAGATTAAAAAAATCTGAACAGGACATTCTGTAGCAAATGCTTTAAATAACCCCACTTTTTATAATTTCAGACAAATTTACCCCTCTTTGTACTACAATTTGCACCTTCTCCCATACTCCATTATTATACATACCTACCATCTTTTTCCTTTTTGTAGAGTTTCCCCATTGTGTAGTATCTCCCTTTGTTAGGTTGCTGTTTAGGTCTTTTTTTTTAATTTTATTTTATTTTAGATCTGCTGACACTTTGAGCTTCCATGTGAAATTGTAAAATGATTTCTGACGATGTATATATGCGTGGTCGATGAGTGATGTTCTTTGATCTCCCGAGTTCTGCATTTTTTTTTTCTTTAGATCTTGCGACGAGAGGATTGACTTGGATTTACCAGAGCGCTGACCTATAGGCATGGGCGGATTTAGTATGGAACCACACTGAATTTTACAAAAGAATTTTTAAAAACTACTTAGGGTCAGATATAAATTACTTGATAAAGGATCTAATTTACATTGTGTAGGTGCATTTAGGAAGATATAATTGCTTCTCTCTCTAAATTTTAAATTGACTTATTACATTTTGTTTTACCATCATTAATTATTTTTTATTTTATTTTATTTATAAAAATTGACACTATTTATCCTATTTTGCTTAGATATGTATATATAATTGATCATTTACTTAATATGACTTATATAGTAAGAAGAAATAAAATAAAAAAACCTACTTAATTATGTTAATTAATTCACTAACATAGTCAAATTGATTCTAAATTTGATCCCAAAATTTTTGAAATTAATAATACATAGATAATAAGTTTCCACATAAAGCACTTTAAATTTGATCTCAAAATTTTTAATTAATTAATAATTCACATAAATATACAAGTTTCCACCAAAATAACTTTAAATTATATTTATGACTAATAGTTAATTGTGTTTTTAAAAATTAAAAAAAAAAATAAAAGGAGAAACAGTAATTGGATATATGACTTTTTTTCTTTCCTTTTCATTCAATCAAGATTTGTATTGTTGAAACTGAGAAAAATAATAAAAAAATCATAAAAATACTATATTTCATCCCACCTTTTTTTTTCAACAGTAACACAATTAAAATACAATAAATTCATATTATGTTATAATTTCTAATAATATTATTATTAATTCACTAGAATATTTTCATATGTCATTAAATCAGATCAACTTTAATTATTACATTTTGATCATGTACTCATTCACAATTTCAATCCTTAATCACTTTTTTTTTATCTCTATTTTTAGATGAGACAATATTTTTTTTTTAAAAAAAAATATATACAATTGCAACCTATATTTCATTTTATAATTCGGATGGTTAGTTACAAAACCAACTTATGCCCCACTCATGTAAATTTCTAGATCCTACTCTGAAATTGATACCATTTTTCTTTTTCTCGATTTTGCCTGCTTGTTCCATTCATCTGTACAAAAGAACTCGTTGGTCGATGTTCTGATATTTTTTATTTTTTTTTCTTTGCAACGTTTGTGCGTGTTAAATGCCAAATAACGGGGCAAATATCAACAACAACAAAATATATATAGAAAATGTCAACACGTTTGTGCGTGTTAAAAAATCAATATCAACAACAAAAATATAGAAAATACAATAAACTCAAAAATATTAGTTTGATTATGGAAATATAGGAAACAATATTTAAATAAATATACCATTTGAGATTCCGGTCCGTACAGTCAAACTGGGGAAAATTTAAAACAACAATGCATGCATGCAGAACTTAAGAAAAAATTAATATGAGGGCAATTAAGTAAAATGAATCATTAATCTTACCATTAGTCTTATGCAACAAATACATACCACATTAGATTCCAACAATCTTACCGAGTGTAATAATGGCCAACAAACAAATGTTTCAATCTCATCTCTACAAGACAATCTTGTGGCCCAAGATAATTGTTATGTAATCTCATCTACCTTAACAAAGGAGCTCTTAAAGTCATGTATATACAGTCAGATTTAATGAGTGATTCGGCTTAAACGAGTGGAAGTCGGCGGTTTTCTTCTTATTTATCTTCTTCTCACTCTTTTTCTTTTTTCCCTATCGTTTTTTCTTACCCTCTTTCTTCTTCTTCTTCTTCTTCTTCTTCTTCTTCTTCTTCTTCTTCNACCTGGGACTCGAAAGTCACGTGCATGAGTGTAATAAATAAAAAATGCACCCTTTTGTTTTTAAGATTCACTAGATATGAGAAGGGTATAATAGTAATTATACGAGATATCCGAAACAGGTGGAGGATTTCACAGACCCCTCCCAGAACGTCGCGAGGGCTGTGGGCCCCACGGAGGTGAAGAGGATATACAAATGCATCAATCTCTCCATACGCCACGTTCTCGCCTTCATTGACGGGAAGATTGGAGGTGAAGAAGTGAAGGAACTCTTGTTTGGCCAAGAGGGCGCGCAGTTTTCCAGGAGAGGACATAATAATAAACCTGCTAATTTGAAGTGGGCTGGGAAAAGAAAGAAGCGGCGTTTTGAGGAGAAAAGTATGGTGGAGCAGCGAAAAAAGGCACGGATGTCTAGTGCAAACACAAAAAATGATGCTCAAGGCACAATCGAAGAACCTTATTGTGGTGACACAGTGAAAAGGGTAAAAACGGGAGGTGGATGGGAAGAATTAGCGAAAAGGGCAAAAACGGGAGGCGGATGGGAAGAGAGTGGTGGTGGCTGCTGGGGAGGGAAAGCTGAGGATGATGCTGAAAAACAAGGCTGGGGAGGAGGTTCGTGGTGATGGGAGTGAAATTTTGTTTGGGGCTTTTGGTTTGTGTATGGTATTGCTTTTAGTTTTTTGGCTTTTCTTTGGTATATAGAATGTTTAGGCTGTGGTAGATGGTGTTTTGTGTTTACATTGCTGCCTGTCTTGACACTGCTATATTATGAATGGCTTGCGATGTAAAATTTGTTATTTTATTTTATTTTTTTTCTAAATCGATAATATCAATAACAGAAACAAGTTTTACATATGAGAATCCACCTGGGATTACAGCAAAGACCAGGGGATACAAAAACCCAAAAATGAAAAGACAAAACCAAAAGAAAAACTAGAAATAAAACTATACAGACAAAAAAACTAGAAATATACACAATCTGACCTATACAGAAACTATAAAGAAAACAAAATCCACTATGTTAAGTCCACCCAACAACAATACTCCAAAACATTCTCCATTACCAGATCTGCACACAATCATAAGAAGGGCAATAATTTGATGATGAACCCTACTGAGAAATCCCCTAGAGCCAGCAGCCAAACCTGTGCAACCTCCTAATAGAGAAGAACACCCCCAAATTGCAAAGAAAGATACTTGAATGTAAAACCACTGAGAAGAACATCTCCTAGTTTACAAAATCAATCTCCTGCAAAGCAACACTCGAACTCACACCCTACCCACTCATAGAGAAAGACCGAATTCAAATAAAGCATTATCTACTAAAGACTTTTCATCTTTCCAAACTCCTTCAAAAACCCACAAGTTACGTGTCTTTCAAAGCCACCATAATATGTACACGGATAACTGTATCATCTCCTCCACAACTTCCCCTCTCTTGAAGTCTCCCATTTTTAACCACCAAACTCTGAAATTTTGCTCAACTTCACCTTCTTTGTGCCATGAGACAGGAGCCAGCTTCCAAGCTAGTCTTGCCCTTCCACAGTCAAAGAAAAGGTGTTCTTTACTTTCTTCATCCTCCCCACACATTGGACAAATTTTATCATTTTGGTTTCTTTTAGACGGTTTTATTTAAATTGAAAGAATTCAAACAATTTTGGGATTCTATGTCTCCCTCTTATGGAATATTGATTGATTTGTGGGGTAGTTATGTACTTTCGCTTCCTCATTTTTGCTGCCAAAATTTTGTCGAAAGAATGACACGGTGGACGATTCGTCATAAATTTTTTTTCTTAAATACGAGATCAATTTTTTATTATCATTCTTATGTTTTTCTTTCCACTTCAACGATTTTTCTTAATCCTAAAGCGCACCAATAGATCCAATTCCTCTCTTGGCTTTCAGCATTCGGTGCCCCCCTCTACACCTTCCGCCGCGGCTTGCTCCGCTCCTCCGACCATGGATTGGACCGGTGATGGGCGACCTTCTCCTTCGGGCTCGGCCTTCTGGCCGTGGGTGGTTCCGACGCCAGCAGAGGGTGTGCATCTCGGCGTCATCAGAACCGCCCCCAAGGTTGCCCTCTCTTCGAGATCGTCTCCCTTCTCTCGCTGCCGGCAACGTCTGCCGCCTCCAGGTATGGGTTAGTGATTTAGGGTTTCGCAAATTTTGAATTCATTTTTTTGTTGTGGATTTAAGATCTGAAAAAATTGAAGATAAGAATTCCAGCGGCGCCATGGTCTGTTTGAGAGCTCTTGTTGGATCACTCTTGAATAATTTTTAAAAAATTTATCTGAATATAGATTGTTAACTTTAATTTGATTTTTATCTTGAGTTGATTTTAGTTAAATAATTTTTAACTAAAATATGAAGCATGGATAAGCTTTTGTGTTGTTAATTCAGTCTGCCCACATTCCTGATTTATGAAAATGCTTATGTGCTCATTCACTTTATTCAGATGGGATCCCATGAGTCGCCAAAGCAGAAGTGCAGTCGACGCTTTTTGACTACTTGCACTGGTGTGGGTATGAGCTTGTTGGACGCTAAGCACATTAACGAAAATTCGCCTAGATTCGTGGCGAAGCTGATTGCAAAGGTCGAGAAAACGGGAGTTTGTGCTGGTGTTATCAACGAAGAGGAAACAAGCGTACCGAACAAGTAGCCAAGTGAAAGCAAAAGAAGGGAGCTAAGCCAGCCAGTGATCCATATGCCTTTGTCCAAACCCTGGGATTTAGCGACTTTCGGTGAAGCTACATTCGGACTGTTCGCTTTGCCATCACTCAACTCTATTGACTTGAGACTAGGTTGAGGGAGTCGATCAATTGACCTCGTACCTCGTCCCACGAGTACACTAACGAGAGAGGAAACCTTACTCTGTTGAGCTATTCGGATTTAGAGGGGCTTTTGTTATCTTGTTTTGAAGGGGTAGTTCCGTAGCAGGTTTTTTCGGACGTTTTCTAGGATCAGAGGGAAGCTGCTAACCTTATACTCAGGATTTGAAGAGATGGGCTGGCGGCAGGGCTTCGTTCACTGTACTGCTCAAGGAGAAGAGAGGTGAAAATGGGGATTCGAAGGTCGAAAAAAGTGATTGGTTGCGTTTCTTATTTTTCGATGGCTCCGATTTCCCCTTTTCTTATTTACGTGTGTTAATTTTCTTTTTAGTTTTTTAGTGTTAATTCAATGTTTATTTGACGTTTATTTGATGTTTATTTATGAGTTCTTGAAGTTGAGAGCTTTTTTAAAATAGTATTTTTAGTGTTTATTTGATGTTTTTTTTATAAAGTTTTAAAATAGTTTTTTAGTGTTTATTTGATGTTTCTTTATACAGTAGGTTTTTGAGTGTTAATTGATATGTGATTTCATGTTTATGAATAGTCTGTATTCTGAAAATAAAATATATATAAATTTATATTTTTGGTATGTATAAAAGTATTAATTTTATAACTATAATAAACTAAAAATAAACTATATATAATTTTTTATTGTATATTAAACTGATTTTTTCTTATATAAAAAACTAAAAATAAACTCTATATAAATTTAAATTTACAATCTTTATTATTGTAATGATTTAGAAATCTATAATAAATTAAAAATAAGTATTCAAATGGTTTATATAATTTTTTAAAGAAATTTGTGAAAGCAATTTGTCAGTGATAATTTGATGTTTATTTTGAGTTGATTGTATTAATTGTTAATTTGATGTTTATTTTGAGTTGATTTATATTAATTGTATTTTTTTGTCTTATCTATTGTTTATATTTTGCTTATTTTTTACATTTTTTGTCTATTTAGTTTTTTATGATTTAGTAAAAATCTAGATAATAAATTTAACATTAACCATAAATTTAAATTAGTTTTTAATAAAGTGTACAGATAATGTAATAAATTTAAGACAAACTTAAAATGATCTAAAAGAGTTTATAAAAGTTAATGATGGTGTGTTTCAACAGGCGTTATATTAGTAAGTAGAATTAGCGAACGCGTCAGTGGAATTAATTGTGTCTTTTTGGATTATAAGTGGAACTAGTTTAAAAGCCTCGTACTCTGGGACAAATTTTTTGAAAGAAGAATACATGTGTCTTTTCACCAATTTTGTCCGACATAGTTGGCCCTGCAAATCACAATAGGAATAGGTTAAACCGAGCTTTGTTAATACCTTCAGTATTTAAAATAAAATACATTAAAAATTCAACCCAAAAATAATTGATAATCCAACTAGGCCCAATGAAAATGAACTTTTTTTAGCCCAACAAGAAAATGAGATGGAAAAAATAGAACCAATAAAAAAGTGAAGGTCGTGGCCGAAAAAGTGGTGGGCGNGAGTTGAAGTAATGAAAAAAAATTATAAATAAGAAGGGTCAAAGAGGACGGGAAGTCGATACATATAGTGGCAGTGAAATTTTCAAAATTTTCATTTAAAAATTTTTGAGATGGATCTAGCGGGATAAAAAGGGGATAAAAAAATTTATAGATAACCATAATTATATTTTCTGGTTTGCTAGCAGCAAAATGAAAAAATAAAAATAATAAAAATATAAACGCCACGTGTCCATCATTTGGGCGGTGACCGCCAGCATCGAATTTACCCATCCACCAAGTAGGGTGGACTCTCCACCCAAATAGGCAGCGTAGACCGACCCGGTTGGTGTTTTTGTGTCGAGCCTCGTCTGTTATCTGTTATCAGAATAACTACAAATCCCCAGCAATTCATCAAATAGGTACTGGGTACTGTTCAAACGCACATATTGTAGAAGTATGATTTGATCTGTTTATACTTCACGCTGTAGATCTAATGTTCCATATGCCTTTGCAGGTGGCAACGCATATCACTTAAATATAACTATGTAATCAGCCCAAGACCCATTTTGCATTGTGAAAGAGGAGATACAAGATTCTGCATTTTTTGTTGAGGTTTTGATTCTTAATTATTAGTCCGACACCAGTTTTTCCTTTCTCTGTACATAAGCTTGTTTGAGTTTGAAGCATTTTGATAGACAAGTATGAATTCTATTTTTGGGACTTTGCAATCCGAATAAAAGGATTTTACTCGAATTATTATGCCCGTTTCTCAAAAATTTCCAGAGCAAGAGGCCTTTTTTCTTTAAACTCGAAATTTATATTGATGTCTTTTTTTTTTATTATTATTATTATTTTGTGCACCATCCAGTTTAAAATTGTTTTGAAATGTATTTAGTATTTAGTGGTTCATGACTGAGTACTTTTATAGGAACAAATATCAATCGTGAATACTCTTTCCTTGTCCTCTGGGGGATCTGGACTAAACACCCAACTCTTGGATAAGATTTGAATAGATTGATAAGTTGCTCTCCACTTTTCTTGTTCACAAGTTGATTGCATGCATTTCTTACAAAATGCATTATTCATTGACGGATTCTGAAATATTGTGTGGAATTCATGAAAGTTTGAAACAAATTTAACAAATTTTCAATCGTAACCTATTAACCTGTCATTAAAGTCTTTTAGTACTATCTCTTGCCTGTTATCCTTGATCATTGTGGTTACATTTATACTAGTGCTTTTACAATATTTGATGCTTTTACTTTGTTGTGGTTGGCGTTAACGTCTCAATTGTTGTGGTAAAGCATCATATAGTTAGTGCTCTATCAGCTATGCTCCCCAATTCTTTTCTAATCCTTGTAGTTGGCCATTCAGATGGAGCCTCACAGAACACAGTTCCTTAACCTAGAGCAGGGCAACTGAACCGTGACAGAATACGAGCGAGAGTTCATTCGCTTGGGTTCCTTCGTGCCACACCTCATCGACACAGAGGAAAAGAGAGCGAGGAACTTCCTGGAGGGCCTACGCAGAGAGATTCGTCGTTATATCGCCGACCTCGGTGCCACGACATACGTTGAGACCGTTATCCGGGCTCGGCGAGTTGAAGCCAGCCTCATGCAGGAGGCCAGCAAAGCTCACGCGACCAACAAGAAGAGGAAACGGATGAGTAAGGAGGAAAGAAAGAACCGACGGAGGGACCTGGCGGCACAGCCATTCCAGCAGAACCCAGCCAGACCTCCAGCATGCGTCACCTGCGGGCGAACCCATCTTGGAGAGTGTTTGGCCGGGCAGGGCATATGCTATCATTGCCGAAGGCCAGGCCACACGGCTCGTACATGCCTGGATCGCGCACCAAATCAATCAGCCCAGCAGCAGCCTGTCCAGAATCAGATGGAGGTCGAGGGGAACCCAGAGCCAAACAGACTCCCCATGTGTGCCATCTGCGAGCGAAGGCATGAGGGAGTGTGTTTAGCAGGGTATAACGTCTGCTACTGGTGCCAGAAATCGGGACACTGGGCCTTCCAGTGCTCAGATGCAGGACAACTGGACTAGTAGAGGTCGAACTCCCGAATACTCCAGAAGACGGGCGTAGTTTTATTTAACTGTATTAGCTTCGTTTTGCGAACTCGTTTTGGAACCTTTTGTTGTTGGATTTTGCACATTTTGAAACTCTGATGAAGTTTGAAGTTTGAGACTGAGAATGTTGGATGTTTTTCTATATGTCTCTATTAAATTCTCGTTGCAATATTCAGAATGTTTCAATATTATAAAGGCTACGAAATGCAAATTGTTGCTGTAATTCAGCGTTTTCAAAAGTTAGGTAAGCGGATGCTACCGACTAGAAGGATAATCTTGTGCAGCTACGACGAAGACCATGCAACGAGCCATCTCGATAACGAAGAAAGAGAGAGAGACCCGCCAGAATTCTTGGTGAACCATTGTCGGGGATATTAAGAAGAAGACGTCACCCCCAGCAAGTTCCAATAGTACGAGAATACTCAGACGACAAACCGTAGCGGTTGCTAGAGGATCCAATGGAAGCTGCATGGGAGTTTGCAAAAGCACCTTGATTCGAGAAGTAGGATCAACCTACGAACATGTGAAAGTTGAAGATGGTCTATTTGATAAGAGAAAGACTTATAAGTTTCGCATCTTATGTCGAATGCCACAACTCTCGAGCGCGAAAATTTTGAGATGAGGAAAGAAATGGTGATAGAGCCATTTATAGTAGTCGAGAAGAGAGAATAATTCGCTGATAATGCGAAAGTATAATGTTATTCGTGATTTCATGAACGTATTTCCGGAACAGTTGTCGGAAGGACCACCTTACCATGAGGGGAGTTCACAGTTGATTGAGTGCCCAGAGTGGGACTAGTGTCAAAAGCGCCATACAGAATGGCACCAAATGAGCTTCAAAAACTTAAGACCCAGGTCTAAAAGTCCCTGGGTTGCGAATTGTTGGACCGAGAGTGTCACCGTATGGTGCGCCGGTCGGATCTTGAAGGAACAAGATGTACATCCATTACAGAAAGCTTAGAAGGCTTAAGAAAAAAAGAGGGAGTAATAATTACTCACTCTCGAGAGTCGAGGACTTGTTTAAACCGTGCAAGAAGCCATCACGTTCCAAGATTGACTTGAAGCTCGGACACCTTCCACGGGAAGTCGAGGAGTCCGACGCCTCAAGAACGACGCTCATGAGATTCTTCGAGGAAGTTTTGAAGATGGCCCTACCTTGGTCGTTTTGATGAGGAAGAGCGTGAAGTTCGAGTGACGTTTCCAATACGAAAGAGAGTTTCCAAGTGAGGAAGCAAGAGAACTCAAACCTGAAGTTTATATTGTACAAGTTTGAAATGATAAAGTCAGTTCTAAGGACTAGTAGTGTGTTGACATGACCGGCTTCGAGAAAGGATCGTGAAGAGTCAGACGACTAATGAGTTCGAGTATAGCATGGAAGAGTTTCCAAGCAAGCAAAGTAGAATATTCTCTCAACCGCAACAGACCGTATTTTAGTATCAAGTTGAGACTTTGCAAACTTTGAGAAAGGAAAGGAAGAACAAAGAAGCTATAACCTTGAAACTTTAGTACTCTCATGTTACTCCTAGCCATTGGATATATGGAACCCTCGATTTGTGTCGGAAGAAGCTAGATCTGAGTCGTAGTGCGCCAAGTGGCTGTAGGAACTCAGCACCGCAGTACGGTGAGGCTACCAGCATGAGACGTGGATACGACTGCGTATGTGACTGCAGGCGACACCGACACCACAGGTGCATCGCATGCAGGTGCCGCACGCAGGTGTGCCGCTCCCGG